TATCTAATATCATATATATATATATATATATATATATATATATATATATAATTGTAAATGTTTTGACCTCTCTAATATGTATAGAGAAAAATAATACATTTTTTCCATTCATATATATTGAGTATGTGTATTTAATATTATAAAATTATATTATGAATTAATAAAAATTATTTTTAAATTACAAAATAATTATTATAAAAATAAATAAAGAATTCAATGACCATATAAAAAATCTTTAACATTATATAGTATTATTATAAATAATCAACCTTAGTACTAATATTATAATTAAAATAAAAAATTCACTCCTTAGTAAAATACATGTTATCAATTAAATTAAAAAAAGGTTTCTAAATATGTATTTGTTTTTTTTAATATATTTTTATTGTTTTCGCCCATAAAGGCATAAACAAGTCTATTTGCAATTTTGTTTATATTCGCCCACAATCCCCATCGCGGGACAGAGAAACATCCATTGCTCACTAATGGAAGCCTTATCTCTTGTACCACCTGTGCACCTATTATAAATGGAGCTTTCTGCATTCTCGAGCTTCAAAGCAGTTTCTAATGTTTCGTTATTCCCGTTTTCTTCCAATCAAGTTTGGTACCGAAGTTCTCTTCTTCTTCGACGCCGCGACTATGGCTTATGCTGGAGTCCCAACTCAAAACCGTTTGTTCGGATCAGGATGTGCTCGGAGAAAGGTTCTTCGTCGAACGGTTACGGCGGAATCGAGACCGGAGAACCGAAATCTGACTTCGTCGAAGTGATTGGCATTGGCTCTCGGAAGGACGCTGTTTTTGATTTCTGCCTGAGCTCGTCGTTTCAGTTACCGTCACTGCGGTTTTGGTAATCGTCTCGTCTAGTTTCATTCATCGTTTTAGTTTATTTATTTTAATTTATGTATTGTAAATTTCAAACTGTTGCGATTTTCGTGAATATTCTGCTTTGCTTGAACGCATTCGAGTTTTGGATTGATTTTTGGTGATAATCCTTGAGTGTACGGAACCGCAGCGTAAGGGAGGGCTCAATTAGCAACAAAGCTTTTCTACAGCGTGAGGCTTATTTGGTAAAGTGAAAAATCGCGTAGAACAATTGTGTTTGATATAAATTATTTGTAGATAATTAGGTTTCTAACTTCTATAGTTGTAAAGAATTATAAATCAGTGTGGTGTTGTTTCTGTCGTGCCATAACATTGTGATGATTTTCTAGCTGGTGCCGTGTGATGAGAAGTTGTCTGACAATTTGTTATTGTTCTATCACTGCTTTTACTGATTTCGTTGACAGGTTTTTGAGCTTCTGTCGATGGTGGAAAACATTAATACTTGTTTTGCTTTTGTCTTGAGTGTTTAAACATTATGATTCGTTTATGCTCTTGATGGTTAAACATCGGTAGCTTTTGCCTTACATGATGGTTAAGCCTTTCTCTTTCATGTCTCATCATGATGTTGATGGTTCTAACATAGTGGTTAAGTATGAAGGTTCTTATGCTTATGTGGTTAAGCTCGTTGGATTTACTTATGCTCTTGATAGTTAAGCATTTGTAGATTTTGCCTGTAGGTGGTTAAGCACTTAAGCTTAGCGTTGTTGGTATTCTTGGCCTGGGTGCGGGGTGCCTTTCATATTAGCCAATGTATTTCTGGTATTATCCATTTCTGAATACATCTGTTAGGTTTTGTTTGTTACTTTGTTTCAAGATATAAGAAATTATAACTGGGAAAGTGAACTTGGGAATATTACATTTCCATATTTGGTTTAAGTTTTGAAAAAACATATATAGGTATTGTTAATTCCCTGAAATGGAAGTTGAGCATCTCACATTCCAATGGGAATGGAATTTACCTTTTTAGTATAACTACTTATCCCGCTTCATTCTTCCACAATTATTTTTACAAATTTTAAATAAATATTTTTTTTTCTAGAAATTACTAAATACCAACCAAACATGTTAATGACTAATATTTCTTGGTAGAATATTCCGAGGAATGTGATTTTTGGAAATATAATATCATACGTTGAAATAAACGCCCCCTTGATACCTTAGTTATAAGCGCTCAATGAACCTAGAGAGGCTACCCTCACCTTTTGCAATGGAGCTATCATTTTTGACACATTTTTTATGCAAGAAAAAAAAAGAATGCAATGAAAACTATTAGAGGAAACGTTTTTTGATCGACAACTCCTGTATCTTGTTCAGCACTAATTATGACAATACCGGTATATTTATTGACAAATGCTATGTTGTAAATGCAGATTTTTATGTTTAATTTTTTATGTTGTGCAAGTATTATTTTTTTTAATGTAACACTTGAAGGGAATATAGATCAATACAAGTAGAAGTTCACTCTTTTGCACAGTTCAAAATTAAGAATTTGCTAGCTTGTTTCATTTGTTTAGTGGTGGAACACATGTATCTTTTAAGGGTGTTTGGGTGGAACACGTTTCTTTGCACTAAATTTATCATGTGATAAAAATTATGCTATTGGCTTCTCTTTGGTCTTTTTCTGCTTCTGCCCAGCACTGTTTCGATGGAATGGAATGCCATCTCCAATGTGTAGAGAGATTGGGCCACCTTGTTTTATTCATTATTCTTTTTATATTTATTTTCCTTTTTTTAATGCTTTGGATGATACCTTTCCTCCTTTGTTGTACTTTCCTTTTCCCCCCTCATTAATAGTTTCTTTTGTTTAAAAATAATTATTTACCAAAAAAATAGTATGCCTCGATAAGTGCATGGTCTTGCTGTGATAGATATTCTGGAATTTAAATTTGTTTTTACTTTTCGTGTTTGCATTTTGAATTTCTTTTAAGATAGCCATCTTCTGCAGGAATGTCCTTATGAAAGAATCACAAGAGGTGCAATTACAACAAAGGTCAATTGAAGAAGGTTTTCCTTTGATTTAATATTACAGTGATTATTTTTTAGCCTATAATTATACTCTATCTAGTTTAACATAGAATCATGTACTGGCGGATCTTGTACGGGCATATTTTTGTGATATCTATTATCTAAGTTGATAGAAAAATGTTAAATTGCTATTATGTTCTTTATTAATTTTTTTATTATAATATGCAATGCACTACCAAACATTAAGTTAGTTTTTAATGAAAAGAGAATAGAGAAAGAAAATGGGGGAAAGTGGCTTGTTTAGCATGAATTTCAAATCAAATATTCATACATATCCCTTGTTGTTCTCTGTGGATATAAGGTACTGATATTTTGGGTTGGGGTCATCTTTTGCAGAATCTCATCCAAGAATTGTCAAATCTCCAGTATTTTTGAAGTCATGCTCAAAGACTATTGTCCTTGTTTGGTCCTTCCTTACCTTCAAAATCTTGAAGTAAAATCTTTGTTTCAATAGTGATCATTTTCATCCATGGGTGTCCAAGTGACCTGGTTTGCTTTATCCATTTCAGCTGATGATTTTGTGAAGCATGCATTAGCCAACTGAGATACTTCAATTCATTATTCATCACCATAGAGTAAATAAATAATTTGATCAAATGAAATTCTGTCATTATGACGAGTTCGAATAATGGAAATGATCGAATAATATTGATGAAATAAGAGGGAAATTCTGTCATTATGATGAGTTCGAATAATGGAAATGATCAAATAATATTGATGAAATAAGAGAATAACAGGAAATAGAAAGCAAAATTTGATAGAAGAATATCTATCAGCCCAAGCCTAATGGCCTCCCACACCAGAGAAGATTCTCGGTGATCTCACTTTCTCCACATAACAAAAAATAATATCCCCCCACTCACCCTCACCTCCCTTATTCCTTATAACCAACTCAATACATGTCATTTACTCCCTTTTCTGCCAGCTCAGCCCCCCTATTCTGTTTTTTACGTCTCCTATAATAAACATGCAAAACCTTGGGTCCATTTTCCACATTTTTGTATCAGGTGGCCCAAGTCTCCCTCTTGATTCCTATCACATTATGTGTTCTTTTTAGATATTGTAAAGCTATTTTCACCACAAAAAAAAAAGATATTGTAAAACTGGTTGGCATGGCTAAATGTTATATTCCGTGTATGGTTAAATATTTTATGCAAAATAAATCATTAGATGCATGATTCTAGCTAGAATTCATCAAAATAGTTTGACTGTGTGTGGCCTTCATCTCACCCCCCCGCCCCCTCCCCTTTTTTCCTCTTTAGGTGGCCAGTGCAGGATATGGCTTGTACCACACTGTTGCAGCTGATATTTTTGAAACTGTAAGGTCGAGGAATGGATTAACAGTTGCTATAGTTTTGAAGCCATTTAGATTTGAAGGGCTTAGACGACAAGATGAGGTATCTTTGATGCTTTGATTTATATACTTTGTTATTGTAATGATGTAAGAAATCACAACTACAAAACAATAATCTTTCATGTTTTTTAAACATTTCCACTTGCAATATGATAAATATTTATGTGGGTTTAACATCTTATCAATTATGATTACTTAGGAAAATTCCATTGAAGGTTATTGGTTATCTTAATTTTTTTAACTTTATGATTGCCTATGATTCCTTGACTAATGTTAATGTGTTGCTATTAAATCATTTTTGAGATCATTTAGTCTGTATGAGATGTTTATCTGGTGACATAAATTCTCAGGTGAAAGTCTTGATGCAGAAACTTAAGGAGAACACCAATTTACTTATTGGTGAGTTATACTTCATATGCTTGCTTGTTAAAAATATTACTGACAAACTTCTTATCTGGCTCATTGGTTTTTTTCCAATTAGTAGAATTTAATACATGATGGGAAGCTTTTCTTTTTCTGGAAAGTACATTTAGTTATTCTAATTCTAATGTCTAAAAAATGTCATTAAAAGGCTGATTTATGATACAGAACTGATCAGACAGTACAAAGTTTCTCTCCTACTTAGGCTCTTCGGGTGGCCTATAAAAACTATAAAAATTGCTCATTTCTGTTGATTTATAAAATTATGATACAGAAATTGATATTGATGCACTGCTCGAGAAAGACTTGTTGACTCTAGATGAGGCCATGAAGACTGCTAATGATGCAGTTTTGCTAGCTATTAAGGCTGTCTCTGTTCTAAAATCTGTAAGTTTAATTTTCTAGTATACTTCTGGCTATTAGTTTTATAGAATTATTGTATGGTTACAGATGGAAAGTTTTGCAGGAGGTGCACAGGAAATTTATAGATAGATTGAATGATAGCATGAAAGAGGCCAGGACTTCAGAAATTAATGGAGTAGGTTTCCATGATTTTTATTTGCCCTGTTAGTTTCAAACTTGAATATCAACGTGCTCTTTTTTAATCCACTTTTCATATTTCCACTTCCTTTCACCTGATTCATTTGTAAAACTGATGTTATTGTGTACAGATATTGAAATCCTATAAAGAAGCAGGGATTGGATTTGGAGCTGCATATAATTTCGAAGCTTCAATTTTGCAGTCTATATTTGATAGTCCTTTCCTGGGTGTTAGTTTGAAGGTATGACCTTTTCCATATGCATGCATGATAGGTATTTTTTCTTCAATGACGGTTCACAAAACTTTTCAAAACACATTGATGTTGTTATTAAATGCAATTGTTGTTGCTAAATCCTTTTTCAGAATAATTGACCCCTCTCGGCCATCAGTGTACTGCCCTTTATTTAATGTTTATTTTAAACATTTAGCTATCACTTTTCTAGTTGAGTTATGGTTCTTTTTCCTGTCTGGATAAACTTATTGTAATCACTATTTTGTTCAGGATCCAAATAGCATAGTTATATGCGTTGTTGCGTGTTCAGTGCCCATCAATGATAGTGATATAGCAATCTTTCTGCGAACTTTCCGTCAAACAACAGAATACACAAATGATATTATAATATCAACAGTACATGACCCTACTGTTGAGCCAAACCTGCTCATAACAACAGTACTTACACTCGGGTAAGTTTTTTATTTATTATTTTTTTTATTAAACTGTCTTTTGTGGATATAGAAGAAATTTATCATGACAAAAAGGAAGGAAAGTTAGGTAAATATCTTAAAGATATGAATATTTGTTGGTATTTTTTTTTTCAGTGTTAGGACTTGTGAAAACAGTGTTTTTTTGTTTTTTTTGCATTTTTTACATCTAGACATGAGAGTTCCTTTGATTTAGATGGAACTAACTTCCTTATTGACATAAATATCATGTAATTACTAATATCATGTATTGACATAAAGACTTATTAGCTGACTCAATTTTGAAGTGCAAACAATCTTGAATTACTAATAATTTCCTTTATCTGTATATTTTTTCGTATTCCCTGGATTATTTCTGCTAAGTTTCTCTTGTCATATAATTAGTTGTTCAGATGTGCAACGGTCTTCCCAGAATGTTGGTATACTGTCCAGACTTGCCATGCGTTTTCCTCTTATTTTTAACTTCTGGGGAAGACATAATCAGCAACAAGTTGGCACTGGGAAACAGACTGAAGTATTTCCTCATGAAGTGATGAGTTCTGATGACATTGACAAGAATACAAATAAAATTGCTACTGAGAACATGGATAACAATCTTGACAAATATTATGTAGAGTTGGAGCCACCAATGAGCAACAGCAGCTCAAAGTTGTCTGCATCAAGGTTTTCTCTCTTACTTTCTCTTTTTTTTTTGTTCTTTTTATTTTATTAAGAAAAATTTATCTTGCTGCGTCACTTGTTCTTATTTTTGCTTCCGAACTGCAATAGGGATTCTGGGAAGAATGAAGAAGTTTTATTTGACACCACATCCAGTTATAACATCCTTTATGACTCTATTACTGAAGGAGGTAATTTTGAGAACCAAAAAAGGTCTTTACTTTGTGTAGGTGCACTTAACAATTGTTGAGTAATTTCTTTCTCTGTTGTCTGTTGTTCAATTTCAAATCAATTCGCATTAGGTGACTCTGTTTTTCAAAGGGAACAACTTGAGAACTGGAATCTAGGTCCTGGATTTGAGGTGGCAAAGGAGTGGGCCCAAGAAAAAGCAGCTGATGCGACACCCATTGTTGATAACCTAAGCATCTTCCACCTTCCTGTTGGTGTGAGGTCTTCAGAAGGGTTGAAAGACTGTTTGGAAATCTCCTTTATAACCAAACAGCATGAGCTGGATACTGATAATGATTTGAAAGCACAAACATTAAATGGAGGTATGTCTCCTTGGAGTGCAGCGACTGATGCAGGTTTGGAAGCAGTGGTGGAATTTGCATCTTCAATTTTGAAAGGAAAGAATGCTAATAAATTAAAGAAACATGGAGTTCTATCTGTTCGTGCTGCGTCCATGTTGGTAATAATGAGTTAGTGACTCTGAATTTTGTTGATGATATATATTCTTGCATGTATTACTGAAAGAGAAACTGAGGCATGTTCTATTACTAGTGGTATTTGAGGGAAATGTCTTGCGTTATATATCAATAATGTGACACTTTAACAAGAGACAATTCTCCAAAATTAGATATGCATCATGTTGACATATTAGACTTTAGTTGCTCTATATGTACTTTTCTTGAGATATCTTCTTTTCAACTATCTTTGTTTGGATTTAATTTTAATTGCTAACTTGTGCAATTTATTGAAGTTCTTCATAATAGAATAAAAAGAGGGATCAAATAAACTGTAGCTTCGATACTAGCTCAAATTAATCTTGTTCAATTTTTGAAATCAGGCTATCAAGTTTGAGCTCCACTTTCTATTTACTGAAGTATGAAAGTACACATTTGAAAGTTTTTACCAACTGTACTTAAATATGCCTCGTGCTGGTTATATTAATTTGGCTTAAGTAACTAGTAGAAAGGTGAACTTCAAGTTTTTGGATATTATGGAATGTGTTGGGTTGGGTGTATTTCTTCAGTTCCTAAAGATTGTGGTTCATAGAACTGGATTTCGTTTTTTGCATGACAACATAGCTTTCCTAAGAAATGACCCCCGGACTGTAATACCTCTGGTGTTTATCTGGCGCTAGGCAAATCCAAGCTTTTTATGAGATCAAAGTATTCTTAAATGAATAACTAACATGTACTTTGTTTCAGTGAGATTTGTTAAAGTTTATTTATGATGATACTTATAAGCTATAACTATCATTGCTTCTTTACTTCTAAAACTATATTTTGATGTGGCATACTTTCATAGTTGGGTTATTGATTTTTTTTGTCCCTGGAAATTTTCAAATTATGGTTTTGTTCCCAAATTTAACTAACAGTTTTTGTCCATATATTTTTGAAAGCACTCAAACTATTGTCTCCATACCTAACAAAGTTTGCCTATTTAAAAGAAATATAGGGACTAAAACCAATGTTTTAAAAGTCAAGGATAAAAGCTAAAATTTGAAAAAATTTCAGAGACGAAAACAATATTAATCCTTAATAGTTTATTGCAATCTTTAAGTCATAAGGATTTTAAGTTTACTTTTTTTTTTGTACAGGAGGCAGAACGTGACGTGTCAAAAAAGTGGAGTCCTGTTGTGGAAATGCAATATAGGGGAGGAAGATACAAGGGACGATGCCAAGGAGGTCTTCCTGAAGGGAAGGTAAATTCTTAAAAATCTATAATAACAAGCAGGCTAGTCTTGGGAAGTCTTTTTTTTTTTTTCCCTTACACAGCTACATGCTAAAGATAACAACTATGTTAAATGAAAATTTACAACCAGGGGCGTCTTGTTCTCAGAGATGGAAGTATATATGATGGTTTATGGCGCTATGGGAAGAGATCTGGTCCTGGTACATTCTATTTCAAAAATGGAGACATGTTTCAAGGATCATGGAGGGATGATGTTATACACGGCAAGGTTTGTACTATTTTTTGTAGTTGATTGTACATCCTATAGCTAAAAGAAAGTGATTTTGGTCACTGTATCTATCCAATTATTAGTAATGGCCGCCTTCATCTTTGTACACCAATTTTCAAAATTTGATGATAATTGTGGGCATGCGGCTTATTGATTATGTAATCATATGGTTGATATAAGTGTGGTATTGTAAATGATTTAATAGATTACACAAAAATCTTTGACGGGGCATTAAAAAAATTCTATTATTGAATTGGATTGTAAATGTGGGTGTTGATTATGCAGGGTTGGTTTTATTTTCACACGGGTGATCGGTGGTTTGCAAACTTTTGGAAGGGAAAGGCTAATGGTGAGGGACGGTTCTACACAAAGTCTGGTGATGCCTTCTTTGGCAATTTCAAAGATGGATGGCGCCATGGGCAGTTTCTTTGTATTAATGCGAATGGGACAAGGTTGGGTAGTTCTCTGTCTCTCAATTATAAAAAAATAAATAAATGCTTGGGTAGTCTAGTCTTATTCTATTGTTGACATATGCTTTTTAATTTTAACGTCATGCTGATTATGTTTACATTAGAAAGGAAAGAGAAATGTTGGATGAACCTCAGTTTCAATGTGATAACTAAGGGCCTTAATTAAAAAAATTAACAATATTAATCAATTAATTCTACTTTATCATATATACCATATGTTTTGTTCATCTTACAATTATTTTCATATATTTTATTAAATATTTGTCTTTTCAATATTTTTATTGATAAAAATATGTTTTGTATTATTGAGATCTTTATTTGGAAATGAATATTCGGTGAGAAGTCAATAAGAAAATAAACTCATGTTGCATTGGATGAGTGCATTACGCAAGTTAGGGTAACACCTATAATATTATAGAAAAGAAGATAGAATTTTGTTTTCTAATCTAGGGTACGCAGAAAAATTCTGTAAAATCCCTCCCGCTAAGGAGAGCAAAGAAGATGGGAGGTAGTCCAACCTCTAAGTAGAGGAAATGTGAAAAAAAAAACTATAGGCAAAACAATAAGGAGAGGTCATTAAGTTGTCTATACACATGATCTCACATAATATTAGTCATTTAATACATGTACTGAACTACTGATGTAGCTTATCCCACTTAGTAGGAAAATGTTTGCTTGTTGCGTACTTTATACTTATTTAGTAAAAATAGAAGTTCAATTCTATAATTGTTTATCATAAAAAGTAAGTTCTAATTTTTAGAGGCAAAATTCTTGCAATGCATTCTTAATCATAAACTTGTGATTGACTTCTCCGAATCTCCATCATTGCATATTTGAAATGTCAAAATTTTAAATATTCTACCTGTTTTGCACTTGTGAAAGGACACATGCATTATATGAATTTTGTACAAACCATACCAATATTAATGTTTGTGACCGACTTGACTTGTGTGTGTAACTGCTATATGAACAGGTACACTGAAATTTGGGAACATGGTGTTCTTGTAGATAGCAAGCATTTAGACAAATGACTGAAGTGGACAAATATGGTATCCAAATTTATGATTAATGTGAATCTTATACTAATCTTGTCTCATTTTTTTTAATCTTTGTTTTATATTTCTCTTTTTGTGTTATGTAATGACTGTTTTGTCGGTATGCTTTGTGTTTATTGTCTATAATTTTTGCCACGAAACCAATCTGCTGTGTAACTCCCCATCTGTATCACAATTCATATTTTGGGTTTTTTAAGTACTTCAGAACATTTGGGAATTCGGAAAATAAAATTTTATAAAAGCATACTCATAAAAAATAATAGTAAAAAGAAAATTGAATTCAAATATAAAAATATACATTAGAAAAAGGTATTTTTGGGTGTACATGTGTGAAATATTAAGGAGTGAGATTATCTCACGTGGGAGCAAGATTACTCGCTCTCATGTGGGAGCAAGATTACTCGCTCTCATGTACCTCGATATACACTGGATTATGAATGAGGAGGGGATGTGCTCTTGAAACCTATATGTTCTCCTCTTGGAGGTCTTAGAAAAAGAGGGTGAGAAGAGGAACATAAATATGATCAATTTTTTAATAATCCCTTTTTAAAACAATTTTTTTTTAATAAGTAAAACAAAATATAATTAAGCATAATAAAAAAAATCTCTCCAAATAACCCTATATCAAAAACATATTTTTGTTTACCAAAAAAATTATAAAAAAAAACATATTTTCACAAATTTTAATAATTAAATGAAAATTCACACTTAATTATTTAAAAGTCTCTATATTATTTTCTAAACACATTTAATTAATTAAAAATATTTTATTATTTTTAGAAAACTTGAAATATTACAAAAAATATGAAAAAAAATTAAGAGTGTCCATTAGAATAAAAAGAAGAAAAATATTTTTTTTTATATAATCATATATTATTTACAACATTTCATGCACATTGTTCAATTAACTAGTTAAACTCCCAAAATAAAATGATTACTTTGATTTGCTTTTATATATGTGCGTATACCCCCCACGTATATATGATCATTTTTGAACTAAATTAATCCAATTAAAACCATGTTAGTTTGCTATTGATTCTGGGGCGTAGGTGAAGTACGAGAATATTCAAAATGTTATTATATGATACACGCGGTAAAAAAAAAAAAAAAAGATTACGAAAACGATCCGAGTTTAATTAATTTTGTTAAATACTCTACCTTCTTTATTATAAAAAAATTGATTTTATGCATATTAAATAAATTATTTAATTACATTAAATTTTACTAATCACATTATTTTTCTCAAATTATCGTTGTTTGTCGCAAAAAAATTGTGCAACTAAAAAATCATACGTTAAAAGAAAAATATTTTTAAAAAAATTATTAAATAAAGAAAAATAGTTATAATTTATTTATATTTAATAAAAAAAATGTGTATTTTTTGCTCCTTATAATAGAAAAGAGAGAGAATATCATTTTAACTTAAATGATGTTGCATACAAGCAAACAAAAGAAGAATAAAAACACACGGTCCATGTTGAATAACATAATGAATCATCATTATGTTTCAAATTGTGAGACCATTGCTCAAAGATGACTTTTGTTTCATCATCTTGTTTGATTTCTATCTAAACATGCAATCAATCTAAATCAATTAAATTGGTTTAGTATTTGGAGACCTTATTTTTCTAAACATCTAATTAATATTTATTACTTTTTTCATTTATTTTTTTATATCATATATATTATATTTATATTTTTCTCTCATCTCACTCACTGGATGTTAAATGAAGTTTTGAATGTCTATATTTTAAGTTCATTAGGTTGGTCTAAAAGGATAAACATTCATAAAAAAATCACACAGCAAATTTCACACACATACACAACAAAAAGAAAGTACACAGGAGTAATGAGAATTTTTTTTTCCTACATGTATAATATATTGTTTTAATACTATATTATTAAATAAAATCTTTTGTTGGACCAACTAAATAAGGTAGTGGACCCATATTGGATAATAAAATACATAAATTTACTAATAAATTTAAAAAATAATAATGAAAATTTTTTAGGTAGACAAATTTTAGTTATACTTATGGGAAATAAAAGAATGTGAGAGTAATGAAAAGAAATTATAGTATAAGTTAAATTATATTTTTAGTTTTTCTATTTTTATTAATTTACACTTTTGGTCTCTCTATTTTAAAATAGAGATATTTGATCCTCTAAGTTTAAAAATATAAAATTTAAGTCTTTTAATCAAATTGAATTTCTTAATAGTTAAATTTTAACATTTACTCATATACTTGAGTGATGTGATATTTACTAACATGATATTTAAAAATAAAAAAAAAACTAAAAAATATGTAAATAAGATTTTTACAAATGAAGATCTGTTGTATGTTATTTTTGAATTTTTGTATGTATGTAACATTATTAAATTTTAGATCATTTAAGTCGTAACATATCATTAAATAATGTTAAATTTGTCAAAATTTAACGACCAAAACATTAAATTAGCAATAAAATAAATAAAAAAATTATTTTTAAAAACAACAAATTTAAATATCTCTATTTTAAAATAGAAGGACAAAAATTATAAATTGAAAAAAAAATAAAGGACAAAAAATGGAATTTAATTTAAAGTATAAAAATGTGTATAACTCTAAATCTACCTATTTCAACCTATTTAGAAGTGGACATGGTTTGTGACAAAAGCAAGCATATTTAAAATAAGTGTAAATTCATCCATATTTAGGAGAGAAGATATTTTTTTAAAACAATAAAATTATTTAACTTTTTTTTTTACAAATAGTAAGAGAAAGATAGAAAGAGATATAAGATAAATAAATAAAAATAAAAAAGATAAATGGTATGACGAAGAGGGAGAAAGATAAAGAAAAAAAAATTGCAAGAATAAGATACTGTCCCAATTCAAAATACGAATTTCATCCATACCAACTTCTCCGAAAAACACTTTTAGCTGGTTCCCTTGACCACATGTATGTCTGTCTGCATACCTTCCCTCCGAGGAACTACAGAATTTAAAAGCATTCAATTTGGTCAAGAGCAGGGACAGGTAGGAGTCACTAACAGCATAATTAGTAAATGTGCTACAGAGCAAAGAAACGGAAGCAGAGCAATGGTTCAAGGCAGAAATCAGCCATCAACATGAAACATCACTTTCAACTATTATCTTCCAACTCGTTATCTTCGATTTCTAAACTAGTTAAAGACGGATTGGGTTTCTCTGTTTATGTACTTCTTCATTTGGGGGAAGCGATGAAGACATGGTGGGTGTTGAGGATCGAAAATAGTTCCACTAGAACATAATGTTGCACAAAATTGTGCAAAGCACAGAAAAATTGCACTAGGAAACACAAAAAATCAACGAATAGAACAGCATGTTACATCTTTCACATTGCCTGAGTGAGTTTTTACGCGGAAAGATTCTTCCTTCAAATTTTGGTTTAGCAAAATTGATTTTCTTACTCAAACCTTTACCAAACCTTTCATCCAAGAGCATTGCTGAACTCCCACATTTAAGTCAGAGAAATGTAACACATGCAATGAATACTTCATTCTTGAACACTCTTCTCTGGTGAATCAAGGTACCTGAGAGAATCAAGGCTGAGGAGAAATTTCACCCCATTAAGAACCAAGAAATTATGTCAGAGTGTAATTTCAGAAAAATAAGCAAAAAAAAAAGAAGGTTAAATTATGAATAGAAAGACTCAAGTATACGGCCAACCTGCATTTTGAAGGAACCCTCCAGGAAACAACAGACAACTTCTTCAAACTTGGAGGCAAGGATAGATAATGTTTCCAATCCTGAAGCATAATTCTAAGATCGTGAAGCTTGCTATCCATACCAAAGCAACAGTTTGCATGCATCGTACAAACTTGGTTTAAATCCCTACTTGGTTCACAAAGCCCACCAAAATTAGTTGTATCCAAAAACCTCATCTTCAGTCCAATAACAGTAATGAAAGGATGAACCTTGATGAAGTTAAGGACATCTTGATCATGGTATCCAGGATAGGATTCTCGTGAAGAATACCAGAATTTGTAAAACTCTATTGACCTATTATTGGACTTTACAAAGTTGAACCCTCCGTTGGGTCTGTTCTGTACATCATCAAAGCTACCTGTAAAATGATCACACGCTATCTGGAAATCTGCATCATGGTGAAACTGTGGAAATGGGTTCCTAAACCACATGATATCGGCATCCTGGAATAGGAACACCAACACGTAAGTATCTAATGATGACACTTCAGAAATTTATCTAGCTTCTTCTATAGATTTTTTTTCGTAGTCTTCTCTTTTTTATATTTCCCCTTTTTTGAAAAATAAAATACAGCGTTGGAAGATACAATAAGAACATCAACAATAGAATGCATTGCCTAAAATTAGCGGCAATGAAACGATGAACTGATATGGTTGTTCCTATCAGTTCCGAAAATGATTTGGTAAATTTAGTGGACATTTGCAAAAGCTTGGTATTGTTGTTGCATCAGTTCAAATGAAGAAAATAAAGTTGGAGGCAGAAGTTTAGCTTCAACATACAATCAGTGTTTACCACCTCTATACTTCGATGTGTAGAGATGAGAAAAACTTAATTTGTTGGGTTTGAAAAAACATTTCCTGTTTCAGTTAAAAATTACGGATTATTATAATCAATAAGAATTAAATTATTAACAAAAATAGAAAACGAAATGTTTTCTGAAATTAAACAAAACCTTGCACTAGAAGAGGTTTTCAATTTTCTATGGCCATAACTAAGGAGTAATATTTTTTCCGGAGATTTGATGAGAATTTTACATTGGCGGGTGAAGACTATCAAATCTTACATTTCCTTATCAAACTACACAAAAAAAGAATAGTTCTAAATTCCCCCACAACATTATTTATCTTAAATGATTTCTACTTTAGTTACAGTGTAAGTGTATCAAAATTAAACTCAAATAAAAATGCAGTATAATCCATCATATTCTATATTATTTGAATGCAAAATGCCAATAAACTACACAACTTTGAGTTAATTCATAAGCAACCCATTCCATCATACGAATTTTCCCATTAAGCCCTATCATGTGAACACACAGTTTTGATAATGTTTCCATGCCTGATAAAATTAAAACAACGTTAAGGTTTACACAATTAGTCCTTGTGAGCTTTAAGAGGTTAGTGATAGAAAAAATAACTTACCGTGAACACAAAATTGTACCCCAACTCAAGAACAGAACGTAGAAAATCAATCCTTCTCCACATCATCTTCAAGTAGCGAGGGGTCATAAAATACGCTTCTTCATTGAAGTAAGCTTCTTCACTAACAAGAAAAAAGCAATGAGTATGTATAACCTGACAGCGTGCAAACGCCTTTTCGTCCAATGCAATGATTACCAAATGATTTAAAAGAGTACGGGTACGATCTCCTATTCTAAAGCTCTCAAGGAAAAGATCGATGACTGAATTTGGAGCTGCCCATGCTTCATTTAACGTGGTCAATATTACAGTTTTGTCTTTCATTGCAGCCTCGTTCAGGACCTTTTCAAGTGGATATTCATTGCTTGTCTGCAGGGGAGTCAATTCAAAAAAGAATAATGAATATGATCACCTTTTCCGTAGACAAATTGCACAAATAAACCACAGCATACACTACAGCAGTGAATATAAATAATACTTCTGAGTGAAGCTGCAGATCAACATCAAGATAATTTCATGGTAAAATGGAAATACTTTCATGAAGGTTATGGTAATTCATTAAATTAAATAAATGGATTAGTGTCTATAAAAATAAAAATATTCACGTTTCGGCTATCTATATTCTTAAGACCAGAGAATGACTTAGTATGAAAACACCTTCATTGCTAGCACTAGCAGAGGACAATCTATCTATATTTTGTAATGATCAACAATTCATATGAACAGAGACTAAAAGAATTATATATTGGGAAATCACCGGCTGTTATAATTGTTGGTGTTTTAAATCAGTTAAATTAATATTTAATAACCTAGTTTGCCCAATTTTTGTAAGAAAAAAAATTCGCAGCTATCCCCTTTTATCTGTAGATACCAAAGCCGTGTACAAGCAGAATGTGAGCAACACTTGTGATTGAGAATACGCAAGATAGGCATGACGAACTTGAACGAATCAGATTACCCTTTTGCCTAGTCATGCATATTAGGTGATATTTCAAATTCTGTTATTAATTAAGTAGCTCTTCTTCCTCTTCAGACTATTCGACCTACACGTATTCAACACGCAGAAATTCCAAAAGAAATAAAAAAGCAAAAAAATAATTACTTATTCTCGATCTGTCTGGAATAATGCTTTCAAAATTATCTAACTAAACAGTGTCAATTCATACAAAATCACAAGTCTTCACTCGCAATGCTCTGGGACTTGCCAAAATATCGATTAAAGAAAGTTACAGCACATAATTTCAGTCGAAAATCATCGTAATTGGCAGTACACTATTAATTCCTCAAATTTCTGGTTTCTCTCGATTTTGTGCATAAAATACACTTTCTCACACAAAAATGTCTACATCTACAGCATTTGAATTCTCAGACGAAATTTGAGCTTGAATTGCATTTCAATCATAACACTGTAAAAGAATGTGAAGAGTCCAACAAATTAATATGTTCAAGCTAGCGCAACTACATTTACCTATATACGTACTCCGATGGAAAATAAATTTTGAAATTACTTTCCAATAGATAAGACAATGCACTAATTAAGCATGCGAAAACGTCTATGCAAAGTGAACTAACTCGATTCGCCTTAACAGTAGCAGGAAATGAAATGAAAACGGTGCGTAACGCGATAAAAGAGAACGAAGCAAGCACGGAACTCACCGCTACGGGATCGTTGTAGGCGGACGGGAAAATGCTAGGCAAACCATAAAACGTATAAGAGGAAGGGAAGGTGGAGAAAAATCGGTGGGAATTAACGTCTCTGAAGAGGACCAAGCAAGAGAGAGAAACGGTGGCGAAAAAGAGTGAAGCGGCGACGGTGCGCCGGAGATGGAGGACTTTGGCCTCCGGTAGCATGTCGGCGGAGGAATCACCGGCGGCGAAGCGGTGCATCGTCGTCCTCTGACGGCGCGTGAGAGGTCATGTTATGTTCGATGGCGGTGCGGAGAGAACGAGAGAGTGAGGAGTGAGGAATGGGGAATTGAAATTTGAAGCGTGCACGGGTGAATGAATGGGAATGGAGGTGAAGTGAGGAAGTGCGTGAGTTGAGAAGGTCGAGATTAGAGGTAATTCCGTTACGAACGCGGAACGCATTCTCGCGTTACTGGTGTGAGGTGTGCCCACTCTACTGACAGTAGGTTTCATTTTGTTACACCATTTTTAATAGAGAAATTCTATGGTACCCATCTTATTTGAGAGGGTACCGGTACAGTATTTTATATTTTATATTTTTAGTAATTTATTTAAATAATATTTATAATATTTTATCCTTTCAATTTTTAAATTATTTAGTCATTTTATTTTTATTTTATATATTCTAATTTATTTGTAATAATATTATTATATATTTAAATAGTTTAATTTTAATAATTTTTTAAGTATATTTTTATCTTTTCACTTAAAATTTTTGAATTTTTATATTTTAATTTTAATAATTTTTTAAGTATATTTTTTGTCTTTTTATCTTAAATTTTTGAATTTCTATATTGTAATTTTAATAACTTTTTATTTCTACTATTTATTAATTTTTTCTTTTTCTTTAATATTTTATAATATTATTGAAAACTTATAATTTTAATCTCTATAATTTTATCTTACTTTTTATTTTATAAATATAATTTAAATTATTTATTTTATAATTAAATTAATTTTTTTAAAAAAAATTTATGAATTTACATAGAAAAATGTATTGAAACCCTTCCATCTTTGAGGGTACCGTAGCAACTCCCTTTTTAATAACTGTCTGCCCACGTGGAATTTCACCCCCACCAAAACTATGTGCCGCTTTCTTTTCAAGAAAAACCTCCTCAATCTTCGCCCCTCCACCGTCTACGATAGGGGATGCCCTCAGGTAGTCCAACCAGCCTAAATTTATGGGTCCAGTTGGGTTAGGTATTTTAACTCCTCTAAGTGTGTTTGGCCGTTCTGCCTAATTCGTCGGTCTGGTGGATTAAATATTAAATTTATTTATTACGTTTAAATATGAGTTTAGTTATTTAATTTAAGATAAATTTATTTTTATCTTTTAAATTTCAAACAATTATTTTTAATCTCTGTATTTTATTAAAATATTATTTTAATCTTTCAAATCACCGATAACATATTTAAGAGTGACAAATTAAGATGGTCATGTAATATTAATTATATTTAATGTAATATTTTTACTAATAAAGACATCAATATATAGAATTTATGTAATAATATTTGGTAAATTTTTTTAAAAAAATTGAATATAAGGACTAAAATAATTTTTTTAAATTATAGGGACTAAAATAATAATTTAAAATTTGAGAGACTAAAAATAAATTTATGTTAAATTTAAAGGACTAAAAACATATTTAAGTCTTTTTTATATAATAAATTTGTTGTCGATTTGATTTATTTATTATATATAATTTGAGATTTATTATGTAATAAATTTGTTAAAATATTTATTAATATTATAATTACATATTTATTTTATTAATATTAGTAGGATTGAGGTACTTTGTGCCTCTATTAAAAATAAAATAGAAACAAAAATAGTCTAATTGGTGTTATGATTAATATATTAATTTCAAGTTCTTAAATTTGATATAAAAAATATTATTTTTTATAATTTTTTAAAAATAGAAGAGTACAATGGTCAACAGAATATAGAGACTAAGATGGTTACTAAAAATGGTATCTCCTTTATATATTTAACATAGTAATAATATAGTAATATAGTAATTTTTTAAAATAGAAGGGTACAATGGTCAACAGAATATGGAGACCAATGTGATTACTAAAAAGGGTATCTCATTTATATATTAGTATATTATAATTTTTTTAAAATAGAAGAGTACAATGATCAACAAAATATGGAGACCAAGATAGTTACTGAAAAGGGTATCCCTTTATATATTTAATATAGTAATAGTACAGTAATATAGTAATTTTTTAAAATAGAATAGTACAATAGTCAACAGAATATAGAAACCAATGTAATTATTAAAAAGAATATATTTTTTATATATTAGTATAGATTTTAGTATGTACAATGTATGTTATTAAATATTTATTATATAAAACTAAAATTTAAAATAAATTATATATATAAATAAATAACATATTTAAATATATAAATTTTATATTTAAATTTTGAATAAGAAGATGTTTTTAATTATAAATTATATTTCACATTATGATAAATAATTTGTATTGTAGTAAAAAAATTATTTTTATTTATTGATAATTTATTTTAAAAATATCAAAATTTAATTTGTGAATAATTATAATAAATAAAAATTAAATTGAATATAAAGTAAAAAAAATCTTTAAAAACTCTTTCATTAAAAATAGAGTCCTTCAAAATCCTATCATGAAAGATGGTCTTTCATGTTTTGCACAAGATGATCCTTTATGTTTTATATATAAGAATTAATTATGCAACAAATTTGAGATTTCTTGTACAAAATATCAAACCAGATTTCTTGTAATTTGAGATTTATTTTATTTTACACTAATTTGTGTATGTCCTTCAGATATTGAATATATATATATATATA